ATGAACAGTGGCTCATCCAAGATATCAGAGAGAAAATTTGAAAATCCTAAAGGAAAATGATAGTGAAAACAAAACCTATTATATTTGTAAAAAAAAAAAAAAAAAAAAAAAAGGAGGCTGGCCAGAGTAGGAGGAAAGTAACCAGAGTACATTTTATACACATATGAAATCAATAAACAAAATTTGTTAGTAAAAAAGTATCAGTCAGGTTGACAAGGTCTATGTTTTAAAAAGAGGAATTCAATGTAGGGAGCTTTAAAAACAATTTCCACTTGAACAGATTATTCTCATGAAAATGGAAGAGATGAGAGGGGATGTGAACTGCAAGGACTTCCTACAGCAACTTACAAAGTTGATAAAGACCTAAATGAAGACGGTGGTAGTGAGAGGAATATCAGGAATGCATTCAAGAGGCTGTAAAAGAAAAAGTATTGCTGTAAAGAAGGGAAATATAAGTTCAGTAGTTGTTAGAAAAACTTATTAGCAGGAAATATATGATGAATATAATGTTAGAATTTGCAGCTCACATAAGGTCGGAACAATGACAGCAGATGGTAAAAACCACTTATTAATGGCACTTGAACTACTAACCTACATAAAATCGCATGAAATAAATATGAAAGGGACACATGCTTGTAAAGGAATTGACAAAAGAGGTGATAAAGGAGAGGAGCGGCTCTTCTGACCTCACTTTGTTCTGCCTAGACAGTTCTACTTTTAGACAATGAATGACACTGTTAAATATGTTTTGTAAACACCTAACTAAAATGTCTAGGTCTAATTATAATACTCTTGGGTATTAAAAATTCTTGTTTTGAGCCAGCTCAAAGGCTGAATGTTAACCTTATTATTTTTCAACATCATTTCTGGAAATGCTTGACAAAAGTTAGCCATTCATGCACAGTTCATTAATTGTGGCTGATTTGCTCTGTTAAACACATGAAGAAGAGACAGCACATGAGGGAAAGCACTTTTCTCCTGGTGAAAATTGAAATAGTCATTTCCAATTTTTTTTTCCCTGAAATTTCTGTGTAAATGTGACTTGGAACACAAAGTCTGATTTCTTCAAGAAAGGCCACTGAAATTACAAGAGACCAAAAGTAATTAACTTTTCTTATAAATGTACTAAAATTTTTAATGATTTAAATTCATTTTTCTAAATATACCTTGATTTACACTGGTATTAATAAATAACTGAATATTCTGTATTTAATAGTAAATACTTTCATTAATGCTGATTTCTGAAATAACAATTTTTTTAGCAGTTAGTTTTACTCTGTCATTTCTTTTTTATTTTATTTATTTTTATGTATTTATTACAATTTATTCACTTTGTACCCCTGTTGTAGCCCCCTCTATCATCTGTTCCTAGTCCCACCCATCCTCCCTCTTCTCCCCCTATGCCTTTTCCCTAGTCCCATGATAGGGGACTTCTACCCTTCTATCTGACCCTAGCCTATCAGGTCTCATCAGGGCTGGCTGCATCATCTTCTTCTGTGGCCTGGCAAGGCTGCCCCCGCCAAGGGGGAGATGAACAAAGAGCCAGCCACTGAGTTCATTATTCCCTTACTAGGAAACCTACTTGGAAACTGAGTAGCCTGTGGGCTTCCTCTGAGCAGGGTGGTCTAGGTCCTTTCCATACAAAGTCCTTGGTTGCTCTCTGCAGGACCCCCTGGAACCTGGTGTTTTGGCTCTGTTGGTCTCCTTGTGGAGTTCCTGTCCCCTCCACCTCTTTCTATCTCCCTCCTTCCCTAAGGTTTCCTGCACTCTGCCCAAAGTTTCAAGTGTGGTACAGTTACACGATAGAATATTACTCAGCAATTAAAAACAAAGAAATTGTGATAATCGCAGGCAAATGGTGGGAACTAGAAAAGATCATCCTGAATGAGGATGAGGTAACCTGGAAGTAGAAAGACACAAATGGTATATTCTCACTTATAAGTGGATATTAGCCATATAATATAGGATAAACAGACGGAAATCTACGGTGTTAAAGAAGCTAAACAACAAGGAGGACCCTAGAGAAGAGGCTGAAACCTCACTCAGAAGGGTAAACATTGGAAGTAGGATAAGAAAAGGAACAGGACAGGTGCCTTCCACAGGGAGCCTCTGACTCTACCCACTAGGGTACTGAAGGAGATACTGAGACTCATAGACAATTTCTTTACTCTAGTGAGTTTCCTAACTTTTATTCCCTTTAGCAGAGAGTAAAATGAAAACAACAGAAAATGTTAAGCCTAAAAGAATGTGGATAATGATGTAGGATTAGTGGAAGCTTCTTAAAACCTATTTTTGTCTAAGCAGGGCCAGGACAAAGGAGCTAAAACATGGTACCTACTATTTCCCTAATTCCAGGTCTTTAACACTATTTGTTATACCAGCTACCATTATTAAAAATATTTTAATGATGGACCAGAGGAACTATTATGTAACAAAAAGGAATGAAGTTTTGATATCTTACTCCTATTCCTTTTCTGCTTTTAAGTCTGAGTTTCCTTGCACAAAAATTAGTATGTTGTATAACTATTCTCTAATGTTCATTGCAGTTTAAATACACCCCCTTTAAAAATTCTATGATTGAAGTTCTTTACTTAGACATTTATTTCTTTGTGTGTATGTGTGAATGTTGCATGTGTATCTGGAAGCAAGAGGATAACCTTGGGTGATTTTCCTCAGAAGCCATTCACCCACCTTTTTTAAATTTTGAGACAGAGTCACTCGTGAGGACCTGCACTTCACCAAAAAGGGTAAACTGGATGGCCAGTGAGTCTCAGGGATCCAAGTGTCTCTACCTTCCCAATATTGGGTTCACAAGCATGTGCCAACATGACTGGCTTTTTATGTGAGTGTTAAAAATTGAACTCAGATCCTTATGTTCGTACAGTAAGCACTATACTGATAGAACTTTAAGGTGCAAAACCTAAAATTATTATTTTGTGTTTTTTCTGTCTTTATGAAAATAATTAAGAACTATATTTCATGTACAACATTTTGGCAGGTGGGGTTTGATCATAAGTATTCTTACCTAGAAGTGCTCAGGAGCTTAGTCTGCTAAAAATCAATGTCAAAATACAATTCCTCAGGTCATCAGAAATGGAAATTTTTTAAAATTTATTTTTATTTTGTGTACACTGGTGTTTGACTGCATGTATGTCCATGTGAGGGTGTCAGATCCACTGGAACAGGAGTTACAGGCATTTGTGAGCTGCCGTATGCATGCTAGAAATTGAACCCACGACCTCTGGAAGAGCAGCCAGTGCTCTTAACAGCTGAGCCATCTCTCTAGCCCTAGAAATGGAAATTTATTAAAAACTTACTCCAGTAGGGAAAAATACTACTATAGTGTTAATGTTTAATGTTCCTAAAAGGCCCAAGTGTACCCAGGGGCACTGTGAGGAGACATCACAGATCTTCCGGAGGAGGGGCCTTAGAGGATACTTCAGTCACTGGAGAGGCTATGCTTATGAGGGCCTGTTTCTTTTTATTTTTTGTTTCCTGGCTTATAAGGTAAGTTGTTTGTTCTGTCACTAATTCTTGCTGCCTCATTAGAGGCTCAAAGACCCAGGACTTGATCATGAACTGGAAGCTCTTAAAGAAAGATAGCTGGGGGACTGGAGAGATGGCTCAGTGGTTAAGAGTACTGTCTGCTTTTCCAGAGGACCCAGGTTCAATTCCCAGTACCCACCTGGCAGCTCACAACTATCTGTACTGCCAATTCCAAGGGATCTGACACCTTCACACTAATGCCCATAAAATTAAGTTAAAAAAATTAAAAAAAAAAAAAAAAAGAAAGATAACTGGAATGATGATGCATGCCTTTAACCCCAGCATTCAGGAGGCAGAGGCAGGTGGAGCTCTGTGACTTCAAGGTTCGCATGGTCTACAAAGTGAGTTCCAGTCCAGCCAGAGAAACACAATAAGACACTGTTTCAAAATACTACTACCAATACCACTAGTTCTACCATCAATAACAACAATAAGGACAAAAACCAAAAAAAGATCAACAGACATTTTTTCTTTATAAGTTAATTATGTCAGGTATTTTTTGTTACAATGACTGAAAGCTGACTAAAATAACTACATTTCCATTATCTTTTCATAAACTTTTCTGAATGTAGTACTAGACAAAGAACAAAAAACCAAGGCAAAACAGAAAATAGATCAATGTAATTATTTAATGACCCAAGAATTAAATTAGGCTATTTTTAGCCACAGATGTTTCTCAAAGTATGCCATTTCCTAATAAAGCATTGTAAATGGAAAATATTATTAATTCAAAAAGGTATGGTATATACCTATAATCTTAGCACCCAGGAGGCTATAGCAAGAAAATCACAGATTGAAAGCCAAACTAGACTACACAGTAGGATCTTACCTATGCCCTCCAAAAAAACCCCAAAAAACAAAAAACAAACAACAACAACGAAAAACCCCAAGCATTTGATATTTATTCTAATCTATTGTACATCACAGCTCAACATTCTGATACACAATTACGCTGGCTATGTGGAACTACAGTTTGCTTCTGCACACAGCATTAGAAGACAATGCCATTTCACATATTATTAGTCCCAAACTATAAAAACAGACAAGGTTTTCTGGACATGTCCTACTTTTATACCTTTATAAAACGAAATTAAATCAGGAACTATTAATTTTCTATAACACATAGTTACAAGATACTAGTTATTTCCAATTCCTAATACAAAAGTCATCAGATAGACTCAGAATTATGCCATTTTTGTGATTTGGTACTGATAGCACTGTCTTTAGGTTAGAGTACTGGTATTTTGAATAAAAAGCACAGATGGACCTTTCCTATTTTTATGAAGTGGAAGCAATCTAGTATTTTATAGTGATTATTAAGTAAATCATAGTTTAATAGAAAACAGAAACAGAAAAGAAGATTCTGATATTGATAATGGCGAGTAAGCATCATCCTTTAGAAAATGGTGCATTCACATAGTATGTGTCTTTCTTGGAAGACACTATGACAGTACCTCGGTAATTGATGATTTCTGTACCAAGCACCGGAGTCATCTCCAGGACTGTAATGAAGGCTTTGTCCATAGACGTCAGAGGGAAAGGAGACATGCGATGTCTTCTAGCCACCTTGGTGATATCTACAGCACTGTGACCTAAACAGGAGACAATTGACCGAGAATAAGACACTGAAACAAGTAAGAATGACTTTAAATACCAAAACTTCCAATTTCTGGGTCCTGGTGAGATGTTATTTCTCCTATTTCTGGCACATGCTATAACATTTCTAATTTTAATGTTCTACAGGCATGTGTCAAAACCTTGTGAAATTCAATGATACTGGCAGATCACTGAGTTTTTACAAGGAGTTGAGCAACTAATCTATTAACCCCAAAATCCATCTTATAATAAGGTATTATTATCATATTTTACAGATGAGGAAAACAGCTTAGATAGGCTTTATGTCTTTGCCTAAGTCACACAGCTGGTGACAGTGAGCCAGGATATAAACCCAGGTAGTTTTGGCTTCAGGGTTCATATCTTCAACTATTGTACTGACCTTTACACATTCAATGAACTAACTAGTAAAATGAATTTATTTAAGATTTACTGGAATTGTCCTTTCTCCTATTAAAAAGTCAAGGAAGATTATATGTAGCTATCCACACTGATATAATCTTATTTAGTCCTTTGACATTAATATCATACATACAGAAAAACTGATGATTTTATAACACTGATCTCAACCTCTACCCTCAACTTTATGTCCATATATATCTAGGAGCTAGTAGATAATACATATTTTTCCAGCCTAGTAATCATCTAACATTTATTGAACATGCAACGGACAACTCAAACCTAAAATTTCTAAAACAAAGCTCTTAAATTTCTAACCTCTTTTTAATCATCCATTGGATTTCATTCTCCTGCAATTCTCAACTGACTAAACAGCCATTCCTTTTACCAGTTTAGTAACTGGGCAAAACAATGGAGACATCCCTGAGTCATCTCTTTCTGTTAAAACTATACCTAAACTTTAAAATTTGTATAGAATATGATCATTACTTATCACTATCACTGTTACTATAATAGCTGGAACATCATTTATGTTCTGGTAGATTCAATAGCTGATTAACTGGTCTCCAGATTCTGTCTTTGTTTCATTGCTGTTTATTTACACACAGTTATGTAATCCTTTCTAATTTGTAACATACTAATTTATGCTAACAGCTATCAAAGACTTTAAATTTCACTTACATTAAAGTATTTGTTAGTGTCTACGAGGGCCAACATACCATCACTCCCCTTATTCTTGTCTTTTAACATTTCTGAGTTCATTGTGCTCCAGCCATACCAGTTTCTTTCTTTTCAGAGATCATGCCAAGTCTCTCTCCTTATGGCCTTTGTGCTTACTGTATGTTTTCTCTCTTGGACCATTTTCCTTCAAATATTTTACTGTTACCTAGCCCTCATTTCTTTCAGCTTTTTTATTTGTATCACTTGATCAGAAGTTTTTGTGAATACTCTCTATAATAATATGTTATCATTTTTATTCCAATTTTCCTATTTTACTTCACATATAGTAGATATTAACAGTCATCTAACTTAAGTCTTTCTTTACATTTGCAAGAAAGTCTCTTTATCAACTGAATAATCTCCTAGCTCCAAAGGAAAACTACTTCTTGATCACTACATCTTCATGCATGAATAACTTAGGTTTGCCTTTGGAGACCCAAATCATATGTACAAGAAAGAATAAACAGAAAACAGAACAGTCCTCTTCTTTCTTAGCTAGTTTTTAACTGAGAGAGATTTGTGATATAACTCTGAGAGCAAGATGTTGAAAGAAATCTCTGGGAGAAGATATTTTATTACAAATACTAAGATTAAAATAGAAGAATAAAAGACTAATAAGAAGAACAAAATAATAAAAGAAGCTTTTGTCCTATCTTCTCCCTGGAACATGGCTGGATACTTGCAGGTATTGTGGCCATTTTTCAACCGTGAGAATGTAAAGAGTTATAGATAGGCCCTGCACTGCTTGTCTCTGGACTTCTAATATGTGAAATAAATAAGCTCTTATTTCTCTACACGACTTTGTAATGATTATATATGTTCACCCCTCAGAAGACTAATTTCTGGTTGTTCTGTGTTACTAAACTTTGTGCTTCTAACACAATTCGTGCAGCTGCTCCAAATATACTACACTGACTTAAAGAATTTCCAACCTATGTTTCAAAAGAGCCTCTTTACACATATAAACCTGCTTATACTATATATTATACTGTCTATATATTTCACCTATTGACAATAAATAAAATCACAGAAATTTAAAGTTTCAAGATGTTAGTAATTACTTAGTGATAAATCTGAGAAACATTTTCTCTTCAAGATTGTATTCAAGACTTAAAAGATTATGACTTATCACCTACAGTTGAAATGTAAATTTATTAATAACCTTTCACTAAGGTCTGAGCTTTGTTGATCAACTATCTTAAAACCATACTGTCATAACAAGCATAATTGGAAAAAAAACAAAAACAACTGACTTCTTTCTTCTATTTAATCATACAGCTATGCAGAGCAGATCTCGGCTTTGATCTTTTTTTAAAATTGATTAAAAAAAACTTTATTCACTTTACATCCCAATCTCAGCCCCCTCTCTTGTCTTATCCCGGTCCCACCCTTTCCCCTCATTTCCCCCTATCCCTCTCCCCTAGTCCTCAGAAAGGGGGAGCCCTCCTCTCCTACAAACTGACCCTCGCCTATCAAGTCTCATCAGGAATGGCTGCATAGTCTTCTAAGGCCACCCGCCAGGGTTAAGTGACCAAAGAGTAGGCAACAGAGTCCATGTCAGAGGCAGCCCCTGTTCCACTTACTAGGGACCCCACTGAGCAGGGGGCCTAGGTCCTCTCCATACATGGTCCTTGGTTGGTGTATCAGTCTCCACAGGCCCCTTGGACCCAGATTTATTGGCTCTGTTAATCTTCTTGTGGGGCTCCCGTCCCTTTCAGGTCTTTCTATCCCCCCACTCTTCCATAAGCCTCCCTGCGCTCTGCCCAAAGTTTGGCTGAGAGTCTCAGCACCTGCTTTTATCTCCTGGTGGGTGGAGTCTTTGAGAGGACATCTGTGGTAGGCTCCCATCCTGTTCCCTCTCTTCTGAAAGAGAATTCTCTTGTGAAAGAGAATTAAACATCCTCCCTAGGGTACTCCTTGTTACTTAGCTTCTTTAGGTCTGTGGATTGTAATATGGTTATCCTGTATTATATGGCTACAATCTGCTTATATGTATACACCATGCTTGCCTTTCTGGGTCTGGGTTGCCTTACTCAGGACGATATTTTGGCACACATTGCATATAATCATATAAAGGCTATCCTTCTAAAATGTTTAGTTTTTTTTTTTTTTTTTTACAAAACTTTTTTAATATTTAGTCGTACAGGATTATTTGTTGAATGCTCCTTGCAATAGTATACAAATGTTTTAGAAGTTTGATGATCATTGACATCACACATCAATCAACATCCATTTATCAAGGGCACTTTACAAACCATACATAAGGAAGTTGGGATGCACAAAGTAATGAGTATCCAGTCATGAAGCCCAGTATAGCTCAGCAGAAAGGTAAGTTGAGTGAAAGTGTAGTGAACTATTCAATTGGTCTTTAACTACAGAGGTTGGTATCTCTCTCTCATTCTTAGTTAACAGGCATTCACTACCCATGATAAATCTTTTCCACTTTGAAAATACTTTTGGATCTTCTCTTCAATTTCTTCTGGAACTTTACCTTCTCCATTTTATGCGACATTTAATATCTGCTTTACCATTATTAGCAGATTATAAACATGAAAACATAGCCTATCATTAAATTCTATATCCTTGTCATTTTTAGAATAGTGTATCTAGTAAATACTTGAGTTGTGAATAAAAGCTGTATCTTTAACCATAGTTCAAATTTGGGATGAAAAGAGACAAATAGTGCCTTCTGCTGATGTTTTACTTCTTTGAGTCTTGGATATTTACAAACTGATTCCAAACCCCCAAAGAGGGCTACAAGCCCTCTTTGTGCCTGAGCCACCTTTCCTGAATAAGCGTAGTTACCACCTCTCATCAAAGAAGCCTCTCTTTACAGCAAATGGAGACCATCACAGAAAACAACTATACACAATGAAAAGATCAACGCATGATGGGGAGCCCAGATACAATGGATACATCCACAACACAATTCCTGCATCTGTGACTCAGGGAATACTGTTGAAAAGGAATGAAAAGATTGTAAGAGCCAGAATACCAGAAAGTCTGCTGGGAAACAATCTTTCTATAATAGTTTCAAAAACAAGACTGGAACAGTGACAATGTTCCAATGGGCATATTAACGTGGAAGGTTCAAAAAGGGGGTAAAATTTCACAGGATTTCTACCCCTAGACAAAAACAACAACAAACAAAACAGGCAAATCATGACTGCTGGGAGAATAATTAGCTTCTCCCTAGAATAAGCCCCCTTATTTGTTTTTCCATACAAGGTCTGCCTTGAAACCACTAATTAATGCAGAAAAAAAAAAAAAAAAACAAATGTGGACTCAGCAGGTTGTGCTTATATATCTGTGCACACACTTTTACTTTTAACAGGGAATTCACAGCCAAGAAGGCACAGCAGAATGATGGTTGATGCTCCTGGTGGGATGTCTCACTCTCAGGCTCCTGCTCATCTAGCTGCCTTATACAGCCCAAAAATATGGACCTAGTGAATGGTACCACCCATAGTGGTGTAAATAATCAAGAAAATCCACTGCATACATACACATAGGCCAATACAATCCTCAATTTAGGCTCTTTCGTCAGATGTTTTGTATGTTGTATCAAGATGACAGAGAAAATAATTTTCTATAAGCAAACTATTTCATGGTCATAAATGTATTCTGATAACTACTTTACAAATGACTATTAATGGTCTGAAAAAGAATTCCTGAGAAGCTAAACTGAATTAGCCCATACTACAAAACAAACCAGACATGAAAAATACTTGTCCTACTAAAAATATTACAGTATCTGAGAGAAGACTTATTGAATTTATATAGTAAGATTACTTGGTGATATATCATTATCTCTGACAATCTGTAGGTTGGTTAGCTAATTTGGCAAAAAGAAACTACA